GCAAAAATGCTGATGAATTTTGGCAAAATCCAGTAATGCTTGTATTTTAAGACAAATTAGAGATTACTGCCTTAGCACTAAGAAATAGGAACAATCACAAGGGTAAAATACACAGAAAAAAACCAAAGTACCCTGAACGTCCATAGATTTTCTGTCAGATATGAAGTGAACATCAATGAACAGCTGTCGGGGCAGACCGCGAAAAATTACCGCACAAAATTCACCTAGGCTGGGAGTACTAGTCTGAGGTACGTGGCTCAGGATACCGCCCAGCCTCCGAGTCTCAGCAATATCAGAAAATATCCCCACAACGAATGCTCGGGCCGTCCCGGTGATTTCGGAGGTGATTCGTTTGAATAGTACATCGAACAACAATTGTAACGATGCACAAGCATAATTAAATTTTAAAATAAAACTGAAAAAAATGGAAAGAAAAATGAAAAAAAAGAGAAAGTTGGCGAAATTCCAAGTTTAGAAAAGTTATGGGCTGGAAAGAAATGTTTCGGTCAATTATAAAGCTGTATACATTTCTTATCAGTACCACAACTGCACCTCATCAGTACAACGACTGTAACTGGATGCAAATTAGTTAAGAAAATGATTAAAATAATAAATATTATTTACGAAATACAAGTTCTTGGTAGGATGCAAGTGAAAAAGAATGTTGGGCTGAGGCTTTGGAGGTCTCGTCTGGTGGCCCAGTGCTTTGCGCCTCTTGTAAGATCATTGGCTGGATCGTCGATTCCTTGGTGATGACTAGGGCTAAGAAGATCCGTGTAATTCGTTGGCCGTCGGGGCCGCCGTCCCAACACAGCACTCCTTTAACGTAGAAACAGCGGCCCTATATAGGTAGCTTCGCGCCATTATACATATCCTACCTAGGAGGGAATCATGATGCAACAAGAGGAAGGTCCTGAAATTAAGTGGTAGATGCGAATTAACTAAAGTTAGAAAAGATAATTAATCCCTGTGATTTTATTGGAATTTCTAAGCAGAATTATTAAAATTCAGGCAAAAAATAAAAATTCACAACGCTTCGCCCTTACAACGCATAATTTTGCGGCCGATAAGTGGAGAAAACAAACCTTTGAATCTGTCTGTTCTAACCACTTCAGTACTTCATAATAGGCATTATCCACATCTTTCAGCGTCACTTTTGCCTAAAAAAATGAGATGAACATGAAAGGAAAAAAAACATTCAACTTTTTTATTCACCCAAACTCTCGCACAGCAAAACTGTCCATTTCTCGGAACTTGAAATCTTAATAGGGTTAATCACTAGAAGCGTTTTTCGAACAAGTGCGCATGCATACTGAACAGGTGATAAAAGCATCCAATTCAGGGTCGAACGACTCGCCAAAACCACGCCCGGCGTGTGAAGCATCCCAGTAACATCACTAACATGCGATATCACACACCGAATATTCATCAGTGATATTACTGCTTGAAGTCCGTATCGGATGGGACGGGGG